CATAGGTGGTCCTCTTCTTCTTCTTCTTCTTATGTACACGGAAGGTTCATCTTCCGCATCCAAATACACTATATGCATGTACTCGGAGCTCCCTTCTGTTTGGTCATTCTCAGCTTCTTCTTCTTCTTCTCTTTTTTTTCAACTGCCGCTGTTTCTTCTTCTTCCGGAATTTATGAAAACGCATACAGTGTGCCGATAATAAACATTGATACATTTTTGGTGCTAAATACGAAGGAAAAACTGACTCCCATCATTCTCAAAATGATTCTCTTTTTTTTCACTGGTCTTCTCTCCTATGACAACCGTTAACTCGTGTCAATTCCATAACTTATTGTAGGGAAGGTCCTGATTTCATGGAACGAATTAGCTTTGGCAACGAATGTGCTATGCACTCAACATTATTAACACCGGACGACCAGTTATGTCAAATTTATAATATAAATGTCATTGTTAAGAGGATTTTTGGTATTTTTTCAAAAAAGAACAAAAAAAAATTGTTGCCACACTATATTGTATGAGTGTGACTTTTTGCCCTCGTAAAAGAAAAGAGAAATATATATGTTTTTCCGTAGAAAAATTAAGGGAAATTTTTTCTACTTATTTGGTAATAAGAATCAGTTCACAGAAAATTATAAGGTATTAAAATAAGCTGCAACGCTTATTATTTTAAAATCCAATTTTGTTTATTTTAATACCAAAATGGATTAAAATATGCAAAATTGGATTTAAAAGTTGCAGCTTATTTTAATGCCTTTTAATTTTCTGTGTTTTTATCGTACAAAAAAAAAATTTTTTTTAAAGAATTTTAATATAAAAATTACGATTCAGTTACAATATCCTAAAACAGAAAATTTGAAAATGAAAGATTTTCAAAAGTATATATATATATATATATAAGCATTTGTCATTTACAAAACAAAGAAATATTCTAACCACAAAATAAGCATAGCGTGCACACTTAACGATTCTAAAACCACAATTTTCGAGATTTCATATCTGTCAAAAAAAAAAAAAGTGCAGGCGGTCGTCGCATCCACAAAACTTTTCTGATGATTTACAATATTGTCATTTTTCCCTCATTTTCCCTCATTTTCTCTCTCTTCCTCTCTCTCTCTTTATACATATATATTGCAGTTTTGAAGAAAATGGTTAATAGTTTTGTACAATTCAAAAAGGGTATATATATATATGCGTGCGATTAGCAAAAAGGGGTGGATTATTTACGGCTTAAAATCTCTTGGGACCGCCACGAAAGTCAATCCCTTAAAAACAGGTAGACGCAAAAATCTCCAAAAGTCAATTGCCAGGTGTTTATGTCGATAAGTACCTAACGGGATTATTATTCCTCTCCAACTGTGATTTTTGAAATTAAAACTTATTAGTATATAATATAAATATACGAGGGGAAAATTTTTCATTCTATTATTTTTACACTAATTATTATTGACAAAAAAAATTTATTTGATTTATTGGGGGGGAGGGAGAGAGGTTAAAGGGTTGTAAATGTAACAATAAGATAATATCATCACTTAATAATAACTTAAATAATAACAATTTTTCTTTTTTTTTAGGTTATGTACGTTTTTCATTTTGGATATAGATAAAGTTAGAAAACTAAATCGTAATTATATATATATTTTTTTCAATGATTATATATACTTCCTTTCGAAAATTTCAATTCATTTCCGGTATTTTGATGAAAGGAGCGAATTCTTTGAATTGGAAAATCCCCTATTGGCAATATATATAGCCATTCAAGTGTAACTGTTTTTTTTTCAAACAGTTAAATAATCAGCACACGAGAGAAAATTTTAAAAATTTGATTTCATCAAAAAATATAGATTTTTGGTCTCTTTAATTTAGATATTTTAAATATTCTTACATAACATAAACTGCAAAATTTAAAGCAGGGTTTTTTTTCAAATTGTTCTATTTTTAAGATGGTATTTTGAGGTTATGTAAGCATATGTTTATTTTCCCTTAATTTTTGATACAGAAATGGTTACATAACCTCAAAATATTTCTATCTCTTGCTCTATCTTTAGGGAACCACAGAAAATTAAAAGGCATTAAAATAAGCTGCAACGCTTATTATTTTAAAATCCAATTTTGCTTATTTTAATACCAAAATGGATTAAAATAAGCAAAATTGGATTAAAATAATAAGCGTTGCAATTCCAATTTTGCTTATTTTAATACCAAAATGGATTAAAATAAGCAAAATTGGATTAAAATAATAAGCGTTGCAGCTTATTTTAATGCCTTTTAATTTTCTGTGACATTTTTAACATATTTTGAGGTTATAAAACCATAATTAAATTGCTTCTTCACTCCTCCCTGAGTTTATTGTTACATAACCTTAAAAATAAATTTGAAATTAAGTTTCTTTCCATCTTGTAAGGAAAATAAATTTTGAGGTTAAGTATAACCATAATTAAATTCTATCGTATCTCCCGTTACAATTAGAAGAAAATTTCTCACATAACCTATCAAAATTAGATCATTTTTTCTCACCTACGTAACCTATACATACGTTATATAGTTTTATATATAGTTTTCAACGAATATTTAAAAATTTTTAAATATCGCCGCCTCTATTGAAAAAAAAAATTGTACTAATATACATAATATAAATCATGTAAATTACTTTTTGGACTATAGAAATTAACAAACAAAAGTGTCAAAACTAACCCTTTTTGAGTGTCACGAGGCTCACTCTCTATTTCATACTCTAAAATAACGTTAACCCTCCATTATATGATCGATGTTAGGCAATAAGAGGAAGGAATATATAACTATAACACTGTGTAATGTTAACGCAAGAGAGAGAGAGCAAAAGGCCATATATCAGCCATTGATGAGTTTTAAGTCCATATATAATGGCCATGATGCTCTCCTTCGTCGTAGTCGTTGTCCTTTTCGTCTATTTTCACGACAAAGAAAAACCATCATGATTTACGAACCCCCCCCTCCACATCCCCGGTATTTTTTTTTTTTTTTTTTTTTTCTTGAAAACTGTTTCTCTCAATGCCCTCTCTTCTAAATTTGCGTTAAAACCTAACCTCTAACCTGAACTTAACCTCTAAAAATTATACACATCGAAAAATTAAGCGAGAGAGAAAGAGAGAGAGAGAGAGAGAGAAAATCTTTTAACGTTTTTCCAGAAGCGAAACCTCTAGCCCTCAGGGCTGCCAACATTTGCACTTTGCAACGAGAGGACATCCCGCTGACACGCTTGCTGTGAATCTGTCAACATCCATGTCGAAATTGCGTTACGAGCTTCTCATTCTCTTTTCACCAAGAAGTAGTTTTTCACATTTTTGAATTATCTTCCACGAATATTATGCGATAGAAAAAAAAAAAAAAAAAAATTGTTTTCTATTATAACCAATACATATATATATCTATTTTGAAAGAATTGTATTGTTTGAAAAAATATATTTTTCTATTTTCAAAAAATTCTAGTAACGATATTGCATGAAATTTTACCACCAGTGAGAGAGGAGTGACATAACAATATATGAGCGCGCCCCATCGTTTATGTCGTGTAAACATTAAAATAAAATCTATGGTAAATACGAATTAGTGATGGAAATTTTTCATTCTTTTTTTCCTCGAAATTGATTTTTAACAAAAATTTTCATATTATATTTTTTTAATACTATATTCTTTATATAAAATAGAATATAATTTTCATATATAATACAATATTACTATTATTATTATTATTACTATTATTATTATTACTATTATTATTATTATTATTATTATTATTATTATTATTATTATTATTATTACTATTATTATTATATAGGCATTAACTATATTTTCCTTTGACAACATAACCTTAAAAAAAACATATTTTTCTTTATTGAAAGCGAAAGAGAAATGTTAATGTGAATTTAAAGTTTAAAATCCGTTAAATTTTGAGGTTATGTTATTTTGTATAAAAATTATTATTAGAGAAAATAATATTATTTTTATTGAAATTTAAGTTTACTTTTAAAATAATGTTTCTTCGTTTCAATAAAACGGAAAAATAGTATATATATATTTAAGTATTTAACTGAACATTTGGTAATCAACATAACCTCAAAAACTACTGTCTTGGCAGTTAGTAAAGTGATGGGCGCGATATTTTTTATAAATTTTAACTACATAACTTCGAAAATGTTTCAGCCCGTTACTAACGTAGGAAATAATATTTTTCCAATTGTTTTAACAACATAACCTCAAAAACTACTATTTTAGCAGTTAATAAAGTGAGGATGATGCGAGGATGATTTTAATTTTTACTACATAACCTCGAAAATAAGTGTAAGAAACGATATTTTACTATTTGTTTTAAACTTTTAACATAACATAACCTCAAAAACATTTAAAACAAAAGCAGTTACTAATATATGTGAGAAGAGACCATTCTTTTTTTAACATAACGTCAAAAACTATACTGTTTTAGCAGTTACTAATACAAGCAGCGAAAATTGTTTTCTTTTTAACATAACCTCAAAAACAAATGTTTTAGTAGATCCTAATGTCAAAATCGCCAATAAAAAGGTTTAAAAGAAAAAAATTATAACAACTATATTAAAAAAAAAAATACTAAAAATACCAAAAAATAAATAAAAAAAATTAACAATTTTTAAACAAAATTAAAAAAAAAAACAATTACATTTACAAAATTTATATCCTTACGAAATAAAGATACACGCAACAATATATATATATATACTTTAATGCGCGCGTAATTTAATTTTGAGAAAATTTTGACAAAAAAGTAAATTTCATAGAAAATATAACTTGTATTCAATAAACAAAAAAAAAAAGAAACAGTTTTGAAATTTTTTTTTTTTTTTTTTTTTTTATAAAAAGCTATATTATTGTTTGAGAATATAATTGAGAACGACTAAATATATGTATATAGTATATCCTCTCCCAAAAGTGTGCGGTTCTGCGCGTGACGAAGAATTTTTGGTCATTTCTCGTAAAATTTTTCGACCTTCGCGTGCAGCCAAAAACCTTAGACAGAGAGAGGGAAAGAGAGAAAGAAAGAGAGAGAGAGAGGTTGTAAACTCATAAAATTGTAAACTCATAAATATTCGTCATCATCGTCCATAATCCACATTGTGTTTTGTCAGTTTCACCTCCGGTGTCCCAAGGAGGCAATCCTTTTTGCTTTTCAAATGTATATCCAATATATATATATAAGACGAAGATTTCCAATAAAGATTTTTCATTCTTTTTTCTATATAATATTATGTTGCAGATGGATTTTAAGAAGAGGAAAAAAAGAATTATCGCAGTCTTAAGGACATGTTATTCAGTGGCTCCGTGATCTGGGTCTAATTTTTTTTTTTAAATTTAATAAAAATAATAAAAAAATGAAAAAAAAAACATTTTAATATTAATTATAAAAAGAATTAATAAATAAAACCTTAAAAAAACACTATTTTTAATAAAATCTTCTTTCTTGACATTTCATTGATTTTTTGTTTCACTCGACGAACTGTAGAGTGCGGTGAGTGTTTTATCCATGGCTCCCTGCGCTGGTTCGGGCGCCATCACTTGGGCCGTGCGGTTGCTTTCAGAAGCGTGTTCTCGTAGAGAAATAAAGGCGGCAAATTTGAAAATTGAATAAGCTGCATAAGTAGAATTTTCAACTAAAAATTGAAAACCATGCAGCAAACAAGTTTTTCAATCTATAAATTGTGAAAATACTTACAATTATACATATTTCTTGTTGTATATGACTATTAATAGTTATAAGCAATTTATTAGTAAAATTAATTTATTATTTTTTTTTAATAATTTATTATTTACCGAATTTTTCAGACTTATAAAATTTTTCGATAAAAAGTAAAATTTTTTTATTTTGTAAAATATTAACATTTTTATGTTAGTTAAAAAAATTCGAAAAATTTGTTTTAAGTTTTAAAAAAATTATAATTTTTTATTTACAAAAATACAAAAATGATAATTTTTTTACTTACAAAAATACAAAAAAATAATAATTTTTTTTTAAAAAATAGAAAAAAATTTTAAATTTTATAAATTAAAAAAGAATGAAAATTTTTGTTTTTCTCTGAAAAACCCAATATTTTTACAACTTAAAAAAACAAAAAAATTTTAATTACAAAAAAAATAGAATTTTTTTTAATTTGAAAAATTATTAATTTTTCGTTATTAACTTTCGCGCTACCGAACAACATTTTTTTCGTTTCAAAAAATGAAAAAACAAAATTTTTTTGCTTTTATTTATTTATAACTTTTATCAATATATATATATATAAAACTACCAGAATTTGCCTGGATAAAATAAATTTTTTCTATTTTGTGCATATTGCAAAAAAAATTATAATCATTTTTCCAGGTAAAAAGAATTAAAATTTTTTTAATATTACAAAATCGGTGGTGATTTTTATAACTTTAAATAATTTAAATTATTAAAAATTACGAAAACTGTGTAAATATTATAAAGTTAAAAAAATTTAGACTGTTTTTGTAAAATTGAAAAAATTTGAATTTTTTTAAATATAAAAAAATTCCATATTTCTGTAACTAAAAAATTCCATATTTTTGTAACTAAAAAAAATTTTTGAAGTTAGAAAAATGTTGAATTTATTTAAAAAATAATAAAACTTTCTTTTTTTAAATTGCAAAAATTTTACTTTCCTTGTAATTCAAATATTTTTTTTTGGAAAAATGGGGTAAATAATAAACGATTAAAAATTATAGCAAATAATTGTAATCCTATTTTTTTGCGCGTTTGAGTCATTTTCAATTATAAAAAATATAAAAAGTATTAGGGGTTGAAACTTGTACATAATACTGTTATCCTCAAATCTGTATAACTATGACAAGACTTCAGGAATTTTTGAATAAAATATATAGTTTTTTCAAGCATTCTTCATGTAATTTTTAATTACATTACAGACTACTTACTACTACTAATTGAAATTACCTTTCGTTATTTTTTTCATTATTTTAGCAAGCCGTTTACAAAATATGTTTTTTCAAAATTTTAGAATTTTAATTTTAATGATTTTATTGAGGGGGAAATAACTTGTGAATTAAGGTGAACACTTGTATTGAATTATACTTAATTATCTTGAATTACATGAATTATTTGAAGTATTGTGAATTATCATGAATTACTTTGAATTATCTCGAATTGCTATAAATTATCTGAATAATTATCGTGAATTATCTTGAATTATTTTGAAGTATGAAGTAGGTGTACACCCAAATTTTTTAGTTTTCCCCTCGGATTTTTTATTTTTAAATGCTTATAACTTTCTTAAAAATGCATTAATTACACAGGCACACAAAAAATAAAAAGTTGTTTGGCCGAGACACTACACTAGTCTATTTTCATGTATTTTTTCACGCTGAATCCGAATCCGAAGTCAGAATTATCAGATTGGCTCTTATTTTTGAGATAAACTCAAAAAACTGCTCAGAAAGAAAAATAAAATCAAAAAGTTAAAAAATTTTTGAATGTCACTGCGATAGTGTAATTCCATGTATTTTTTGTCGCTTAATCTGAATCCAAAGTCAGAATTGTTAGATTCGCTCAAATTTTTGAGATATTGCAAAAAAACACAAGTAACAAAAAACTCAAAATACTCAAAATCAGTTTTTTGGAATTATCTTCAAAATTTGAGCCAATCTGTCAATTCTGACTTCGAATTCGGATTCAGCGTGAAAAAATACATGAAAATGCACTATCGTAGTGTTTCGGCAAAAAAAATTATCTGTGCCCCTAATTCAAAATTTTTATCAGTTTTTGGCGATTTTAGATCAAAGAAATTTTTTTTTGCCGAAACATTACGATAGTGCATTTTCATGTATTTTTTCATGCTGAATCCGAATTCGAAGTCAGAATTGACAGATTGGCTCAAATTTTGAAGATAATTCCAAAAAACTGATTTTGAGTATTTTGAGTTTTTTGTTACTTGTGTTTTTTTGCAATTATCTCAAAAATTTGAGCGAATCTATCAATTCTGACTTTGGATTCGGATTCAGCGACAAAAAATACATGGAATTACACTATCGCAGTGACATTCAAAAATTTTTTAACTTTTTGATTTTATTTTTCTTTCTGAGCAGTTTTTTGAGTTTATCTCAAAAATAAGAGCCAATCTGATAATTATGACTTCGGATTCGGATTCAGCGTGAAAAAATACATGAAAATAGACTAGTGTAGTGTCTCGGCCAAACAACTTTTTATTTTTTGTGTGCCTGTGTTGTTAAGTCATTTTTATTGTGTGTTTTTAAACGTTCATTTCAGAAAAAAACGTAAATTTTTTTCATTCGACATTATTATCAAATCTGTAAAAAGATAAAAAATAATTTTTTTAAATTTTTTCATATTTTACCTAATAAACGAAGTAAATTATGAATTTTAGAACTTTTTTTATTTTTTTCACCATAAAAATAAAATTTTCGGGTATTCTCTATGATTATCGTAATCAGCACATTAAAATACATAAATGTATGTTGTAAAAAAACGGATGTATTTCAAAAAATTTTTAAAAATTCTGAAAATAATTAAAAAATTTAAAAAAGTTGAGCTGAACTCTTGTAAAGGACAGCTTGGAGATTTTTTGGGTCGCTAATTACGAATCTAATGTCATTTTTCCAAAATTTCCTGAATATAAAAGAGCGATGATTATTTTTGTAAACTAACCATATTTGCATGGAACTCGTTACTTGGGAGTTTGGGGTATTTGTTTTTTTATTATAAAAATAAAAAACTAAAAAAATAATTTTAAAAAATGAAAAAAAGTTAAAAAAACAAAAAATGGGATCAGAAAAAATTGCCATATTGGATCCGCCATTTTGAATTTTAAGAACAGACATCAGATTCGTAATCAGCGATTTCAAATACCCCCGAGTAACGAGTTTCATACAAATCCGATAGTTTTGTAAAAAAATCTTTCGCCATATTGTATCCGCCATTTTGAAAAACTGATATCGGATTCGTAATCAGCGACCCCGAAAACACTTAAATACAGTGGGTGATTAATTTTTCGCTACTTTAAAATGTCAGTCATTAAAGGGTTAAAAAACTCTATTTTAAAATAAAAATTGCATAAAGTTTTTTACCATTATACAGATTTAAAAAAGACAGATTAACTTAAAATATCAAAATTGAGAGTCCCACTACTTTTTATGTTTTTTTTGAATGACCATATACTTTATAGATTTATTTTACTAATATTTTGCTTAGTTATATCGCAAAAAAATTTCCCACGCTGCTGTATACATAGTCATGTATACTTTTATAATGGCATAGTCTGAAATTTTTTAATTTGAGAGTTAATGTGTTAAATTGGGTAAAATATATTATTAACTACAAGTATTATCCTTTTTGTCATTCTTTTTTTCTTCACAATAAATCAAAGGTTTTACTTTGTTAATAGTAAAAAGATGTAAAAATGTCGTTTTTTTCTGCTGAACAACCTTCATATTAAAAAGTTTATATCATGTTATACTTTAAATCTGAAAGTAAAAATTATGTTGAAAGACATAATTAACAACAAAGACCACCCACAACCACCCCTTTGTTGTTTTTATGTAATGACAATATATCCCACGCTGCTGTACAACCTTCATATTAAAAAGTATATATGATGTTAGACTCGAAAATTAAAAGAAAATTGTGTTCAAAACATAATTGACAAGAAAAACAACACTCTTCGTTGTTTCCATTAATTGACAATATATCCCACGCTGCTGTACATTATATGATCATAATATGACGTTGAAATTTCTGGTTAATGATGATATGTTTCTTATATGTAATATTGGTAAATATACAGAAAAAAGTATATTTGTAGACAAAAAATCGAGTCCCTCGCTGCTGTACAACCTTCATATTAAAAAGTATATGATGTCATACTCTAAAATTAAAAGTAAAAAATATGTTGAATGACATAATTGACAACAAAGACCACCCACAACCACCCTCTTTGTTGTTTTTGTTTATTGAAAATGTATCCCACGCTGCTGTACATCATATGATCATAATATGACGTTGAAATTTCTGGTTAATGATGATATGTTTCTTATGTGTAATATTGTTAATTATACAGAAAAAGTATATTTTTAGACAAAAAATCGAGTCCCTCGCTGCTGTACAACCTTCATATTAAAAAGTATATGATGTCATACTCTGAAATTAAAAGTAAAAAATATGTTGAAAGACATAATTAACAACAAAGACCACCCACAACCACCCTCTTTGTTGTTTTTGTTTATTGAAAATGTATCCCACGCTGCTGTACATCATATGATCATAATATGACGTTGAAATTTCTGGTTAATGATGATATGTTTCTTATGTGTAATATTGTTAATTATACAGAAAAAGTATATTTTTAGACAAAAAATCGAGTCCCTCGCTGCTGTACAACCTTCATATTAAAAAGTATATGATGTCATACT